GTATAAGCCAGTTAAAAACTATGTCAATGTGAGAGTTAAGGAATTGCATACTGTTTTACTTTGGTTTATCTTTTATAGTTATACAAGTACAGTTAACATTTGGGGTTTCAGAACAATTTGGTTTTGATGTGTTATGTATCTGTACATGTCAGGCCATTTATTGTTATTCTAATAAGTTGGTTGTCCTTTTCATTAAAACGACAAATACACAGCTTTAATTTGAAGAAGTAGATTGTAAGAAACAAGACATTCACTGTGTAAAAGCCTCCATAAGTTTGGGGGAGACTCATGGGGACCCATAGAACCCATTTTCATTTAGATATCTTGAGGTGAGAGTTCAGTGGACCCCTTTGAAAATGGTCATGCCAGTTGTTACCTCATCACATTTAGCCTAACTTTGGAGTGTTATACAGCCCTCTTTCAGACAAGCCAGGCCAACATGGTTGGTACCAATGGATGCCTTAGGTTGTAGAGTTTCCAAAGATACCATTTCCTAGTTTACAAATTGAGTGTGTCAGTCTCCAATTATTTTCAACAGGTGGGGCAGCATATGATTATATAGATGACAGTCCTGTATTTGTGTGTATTCCAGTTGTCCATCACTGCTTTGTTGACTTGTACTCAATTTTTAAAGCAGCTTTGTCAATGTGAGTTCTGAAAATGGATTTATTTTCACACACATTAGCCAAGCAAAAGAATTGTTGATCGCATTACTAATCGGAGAGAAAGGGCACCATTGTGTGAGACCATGAGAATTGGTTTAGCATCCAACAGGTGTTCTCTAACTTTGGGCTCTGACATCTAGACCAGCTGGAGCAGCAGCTGCCACCTGGCTAATCCTGCCTTGCTGTTTGCAGTTCACATGGAACAGAGAGCGGGCCAGCGGGCAGTGCTGCTGTGTGTTCTCACTTCTGTCTCTCTCAGCTCTTGTTCTTTTTACCCAACGTGTTGTCATCCATGATACTGTGGTCAGAGATATTTTGTCAAGGTGCTTTGGCTCTTGTCTCTGAGCTGCAGTAAAGGTGTCATACACAAAGAGTTTGATGGATTAAACCAGCAAACATTTAAGGGATGACCAACACTACAGTACACAGTATATTTTCAGGGGTCTGTTAGGGTTCTGACTGCCTTGTCAACCACTGTGATAGATGGTGACTAAAGTAAGCTCAGTTTTAACAGCTATTATTCACTCTCATTTGGACACTGAATGAATAGTCCCTTTTTAAAAATATGTGATCACATTTTTTGTAGATAAAACTAAAAGGTCACATCCTGATACAAAATGTAGGAAACACAGAACTATATCCACTACCTGTCACAGTATTAATCATAGGAAATAAAAGAAAGTATGGGACATTTTAATGCGTTATTATTTGATGTTTTTATGACTCTTATTTTTAATAGTCATTTGTTAGTTAATTGCTGCTTGTCTGACATAATATTGGTTCTTGAATGCTGGTTGTTTTTGTTCTCAAGTACCTACTGATCTTTAAAGGGAACTGTTTTTATGTCTAATTGACTCATGGGAATAACAATCATTTAAAGTGATCCAGTAGTGAGAGAGGGCTGCAGCTGGCAGCGGCAAAGCAGGCTACAATGTCACCACTCGGCACAGGTGCACCCGATCAGTTTATGTCCACTAAATGTGCTTGTTTTTGCCAATGACAGGCTCAGATTGTTGATATGAGTGTCTTACAACATTACGTAAATTACCCTTCAGAGAAATAAAATGTTCTTTGCACTTTTTGCTTGTTCTAGTCTTTTCTGTGTCAAAGCCTCACTATCGAGAAGTCTCGTTCTGAGATCTCACGAGAGGTGAGATTTGACTTTTAGAGGTGACTTGTTTCCAGAGACTTGTTTTAGTGAGTCGTAGAGAGGAGTGCTGGTAATAGTTTGTTGTGTGGGTGTACAGGAGGCATAGCTTACTGTTATCTAAAAGATTTTGAAGGTCGTGGCTGAGTATTTAGCTGATTTCGACAATATGGAAAACACACTTCTCCTTTAGCAAGACTCGGACTCAAACAAAACGGAGTGAAGGGTAGTGAAAAAATGTTTCATTTCTCTGTAGTGTCCTTTCCATTATGTTGTAAGACACTCATAATAACAATCTGAGCCTCAGCCAAAAACAAGCACTTGTAATAGAAGTAAATTGTCATGGCGCAGCTGCCCTAATGGTAACAGTGCAGCCTGTTTCGTAGCTGCTACCTGCAGCATTCTTGCTCAGTGCAGGACCAATATCAAAAATCAGTTTCCATGAGTCACTTAGACCAAAAAAAATGGGAAAAGGGGGGTCTGGGTTGAAAAATACCAAAGTTCTCCTTTAATGAGACTGCCGGTTAAAGTTACTCAACCTGAACTGTGATGTTTACAGTAACACTGAGAGAAATGTGGATTCTTTTTTTATCCCACTATTACCAGGAGCACAAATCAACTGTCATATTACATGATTCATACAAAACTGAATGTGTTAACAATCTTGTAAAGCCATGAAAAATTATTTGCACATCATAAAAATTAATATGAAATCTCACTGATCATGCAATGATTAAAAGAAAATACAACGTGGGCATTATATCCTAACCTCACCTGAAATGAAATGCCACCTCTCTGCTGTCTAGTAACACTGCTCCTCCTTTTAATCTTGCTGTTGACAGTTCTACTGAAACATCTAACAATAACTTTTTCCACTGCTTAAGTGGGACAGAGTGCGTCGGTTGCTACATAAGTGCCAACATTTCTCGCACTTTTTCCAACATAAATGTTTTTCCTTTGAAGTTAAAGTTAATGCATCACCCTTAGAGAGAGGTTTTCTGAACAGACCGTGCATAAAGACAGGTAGTTTGTGACCTGTTCCTAAATACATTTGTCCATGAGGCAACTGTCATGCCTCTTGTTTTTCTTCTAAAAGAGGAATTCCCATGTACTAGCTGTATGGTACTTTTGGCAACTTAAAGAGATGTTAGATAGAAGTGAAACTGATTTGATTGTTCCTCTCTCGTCTCGAACCCGAGTTATTGCTGAAGATTGTCCAGTGGAGACTTTCACTCTCCTGTGTCATGGAAAAGATGAAGTGTTTAAACTAACATGAGAGCACCTCGAACATGAGACACAATTTACCAGAATTTATGTTGTGTTTTATTCTGGAGAAGTCCTCGAACTGAAGTGGCCATTACTTGTGTGGGACAGTAATTTTTGTCCAAGCAGACCTGCAGGTTCCCAGTCGTACAATACCAGTCATCGTACAGTACAGAGCATCATGCTGCTTAACACTGTCATTGAAAAGAGTTATGTCTACCATACACTAGAAGACTTTCAAAAGACTTTTTGAAGACTTGAGTCTTCTCACATGTAAAGACAATGTGACTTTTTAGTCACACACTATAAGATTTTGCAAAGACTGGAGTTCTTGCAGGCTTAGTGTTTGCAAGACTATAGTTAGATTCCTTTTAAGATCATTTCCCATTCTGCTCCTAATGGAAGGTATTGCGCTAAACTCCTTTGAGAAATATGACATATTAACAATTCCTTATGTTTCCGCAAAAACGCCTAACTGTAGAAACACAAGATTAAAGGCACCACATGTCGACAGTATTTTTTAGCAATTTGGCATCAATATAATCCATAAAGATAAACGAATTTGGGTACAAACTTTACATTTTGGATTTTGTCGTCTCAACTTGCTACCAGCCTTCTTTGGTTAACTGTGCTATCTTAGTGGAAGGGAAGATCATGGGAATGAGAGGCAGAACATTTAAAAAATTAATATTTCACACAAAAATAAGGGCTGGTTGGTGGATCACATACACGCAGAATTAAATACAGACTCTTGCCCAAGCCTCCAAGAGAACCAAGACTTGTTCATGTTCTTGCGCCTCTTCTTGTTTGGAGCCAGAGAGAGCGCTATTGGTTGTTAAATATGCTCACGTCATTTAACTTTACTATTTCCATGAGCCAACATTACAAAGTTAAAGTAGCATTAACCATGTTTGATTTTGTGGGAACATCAAGACAAAAAAAAGACTCACTCAAGACAGCTGGGACTGAGTTTATGATTTTATTACGACAATGGACATTTGTCTGCGACGGTACAATCGCTCAAAAAGTTGTTTGATGTAAGGCTGGCATCAACTGCTTCAGTACAACTATAGATTTGATTTTTATTTTTGTGGCACGCACACAAAGTGCCCAACATTATGAGTTTCTAGGACACCAAAAGAACAGCTGCAGTGTGTAAACATTTTCATTTCAAATTTAAAGGATATTTTGAAGCTCGGTCTTGAACAAAGTATTCTGCCTTTTCTCCCAAACTTTGCAAATAAAATCTGCCACACAAAAGGTTCCCCTCCTGAAGCACTGTTCAAATTTTTCAAAGTCATCCACCCAAAAGAAATCAACATAGATTAATGCAATTTTATTAAAAAGTACACACTTGATGTCCTCGTGGACTGGAAATTAAAACAAAAGTGTGCATCATCTGCTCCAGCTTGAGTTCACACAACAAACAATGTCTGTCCTCCTCTGGTGTGGCCGGTCTCTAGGGCTCAGGGAAATGTTCCTGAGCATAAATGTGCACATAAGGACCTTTGTCTTTTGTTTAAATTTGACTTTAACTTACTTTTTGTTAATACCATATATCAACAGATCAATTTCTCTACATGCACTGTATTCACATGCACTGTGTTCAGCTACAGCTACTGTGTATTAGTACTGTCATTAATATAAAACAACTAAACCTGTTACATTGCTTCTTGTGCCACTGACTGTATATGACTTGCTGTGCTTTTATTACGTTATGGATCAACAAATCTTTTACGGCTTATTTGCAGTTTTGTTTTTCCCTGTTGGTTAATCACTCAGAGAGTGAACAAAGCATATTTTAATGAGTTTTAGTCCCTTTATTTTTCCTCTGAAGGGATTAATGAAACCCAAGCGTGTTCTTATTTCTGATGTGGTGTATTTTGAAATGTGTTTACTGACCTGCACGTGATTGTGTGTTTCAGTTTTCTGCTGGTGTTCAGCTGCTTGGTGTTGTCTGTGTTCTCCACCATCCCCGACCACCAGAAGTTCGCCAACCAAGGCCTCTTCATCCTGGTGAGACCTCTCCCCTATCTCTCACACACACATATGACTACCTCAGCATCCATTTTCATATACTATCCTTTCATACATGCCGTCTCACTTATTGCAGCATATGCGCTTACGTACGTGTTGCTTTGTCTGCCGGCGGAGTCACAGACAGCCATGTAAGCAGGTGGGAGGATTCAGGTGTTGTTGACTGCGCAGGAAATCACAGACATGATCCACTAATCCTAATAGCTATCCCATAATCTCCCCTCTTCCTCTGTGCTCCGGCTGCTTTAGTGAAAGGTAATGGACACTCGCTTTCTCCTTCTTAACCTGACTCGTCCTCTTTCAAACTGCTCCTCCTCCCGTCTCTCTTCCCACCTGGCTCATCGTTACGTGCTATTTAATGGTCAGTCTCTTGACTTTCACATTCGCTCTGTTCACTCTGTCGATCAATCACGCGGCCATTAGCAGGCAATCAGCCATTAGAGGACTTTACTTACACGAACATTGGCTCTAATGACGGATTGGTTCAGTGCACCTTAAACTGCCCGTACAGTTCAGAAACCGGAAAGTAAGGAGGACAAAGAGAGAGTAAACTGACTGAGCGGCGTGTTAATAGGATGTGACTGTTATGGTATAACTTTGATTTTTAATCTTTTGATTTAATCCAATATAAAAATAAATAAAGTGTTGAACAGTGTAGGAGTGTAGGACATATAAATCGTTCATCAGTGTTTCTCACAGACTGAAATATGATGAGTGTTCGTCTGCAGCATGAGGAGGTGTTTTCCCTTGCTATTGTAAAAATAAGAGAAATTACTTTTCATCACGTGACATACTCTATGCTTTTTAACTTTTTATGCGGCCATACTCACCTTATTGTTTGCAGCGTAAACACCAAGATGGCGCTTTAAAAAGGACCAGTGCGCAGGATTTAGGGGCAATCTATTGACAGAAATTAAACTTAATATTCATGATTATGTTTCAGTAGTAGGTTTGGGCAAAAAAAATAGCCTTTTGGTTTGTTTTTTTTCTATTAAACTGGTACGGAGATGCTGTATTAGGGCAATGCAGTGTAATGCACAGCTCACGCCACCAGAGGTCAGTCTACTGGTGGGACAGACTGCAAGGCGGGAATAATGCTACAAGAAAAAGGCCTCTGCCCCTGTTTGGGAGTATTGCCACATCTAACTTTATCTTTCGATGACTTCTTCCAACTACAAAAGCAGTTTATTAGCCACAAGATTTTACTCAACACATCATCTCAGTCAGCAGTAAGTGTCGTCAGGTTCTCCAGCAACAAAGGTGCTTATTTCCCATCTATTCCCACCAAGATTTGTCCAAGTTGGCTAATTGCATATTAGAAACAGTATTGTAGGCTAAACAATGCCATACATGCTACAATGACTTCTATCACCACAGCCCAGTTAGCTTAGGATGAGCCTTTATACCTACACTGGGAGCAGGTCCTCTTCCCTGGAGCCCACCACGTCGTTCCTGCAGAGGCCCAGAACAGAAAAACCAAACACTGGCTCTCAAGAAGGCCATTCACATTTTTACGTCAAAGTGAAGGCTCATATAGGTTTGCGTTCAAGCTTAGAAAGAGAGTAGTATCCAGTTGTTTACGATCTGCAATCTCACTGTCAGATTCCACTGAATCCTGCACGCTGCACCTTCAAATACAATCAATAACTTGGATGTGTTGTTTAGGCGACACTTGCTAAACAACTGATACTGTACATACAAACAAAAAAAAGAGCTCTTGGGTAGGTAGGGGAACATTTGTTTGGATGCTCCATCAAACAATACGCTCACTTGACTACTGCATGTCACTGACCTGTGTGTGTGTGTGTGTGTGTGTGTGTGTGTGTGTGTGTGTGTGTAGGAGTTTGTGATGATCGTGGTGTTTGGGTTGGAGTATTTCATCAGGATCTGGGCGGCTGGCTGTTGCTGCAGATACCGTGGATGGCAGGGACGGCTGAGATTTGCCAGGAAGCCCTTCTGTGTCATAGGTTAGTGTGTGTGTGCGTGTGTGTGAATAGTACATAAATCCTGTTTGTGCGTTTGTAAGCAAATTGAAATGTTACCACCTCATAATGACTTATCTTCACATCTTTTGTCTGTGTTTCCTTTCTGACCTTCTTCACAGACTTCATAGTATTTGTGGCATCGTTGGCAGTGATAGCAGCTGGGACGCAGGGCAACATCTTTGCCACGTCAGCCCTGCGCAGCATGCGCTTCCTGCAGATCTTGCGAATGGTTCGTATGGACCGACGGGGAGGCACTTGGAAACTACTGGGCTCAGTGGTTTACGCTCACAGCAAGGTGGGAATGACAGCCTGCTAAATATAGCCCTTCTTTACACATGCTCCACTACAAAAACACACTTTGTCCAGTTTCTATGAACAACCTACATTTGTAGACAGTGGTTAGTTGTGCAGACATTGAAAATAAAAAGTAAAGTAATGCATGGCAGCCTCATACAGCATCATGGATTATTATACGAGCAGGAGGGAGAGGGTTATTTAAAGGCTGGCAACGGTGTTCATGATGGTTTCTAATGGGATAAATAACATAATAACTCTCACTGCTGAGGAATACGTGGTGAGTCTACTGATGACCAGCTGTTACCTGATTACATCCCCTGCCCTCAAACACCAAACTCCCCTTTAGCTGCTAATTTTGGGCAATTAGTTGTTAGTTTTTGTGCTGACCGAAACACCTGACACCCATCGGTCGGGTGCAGAACACTAATGGTGGCAATGATGATGAAGTGATGCATCAGCTGTCTAAGCAGAACTGTGCAGCCAAGTCAAAGTGGATGCCAAATGTGATGATGACGGCAATTTGGCCAATAATGATGATAGTGATACGGTAATGACAGCAGGGATCATGATGGTGAAGATGCTGTTGCTGCTGCTGCTGCTGCTGCTGACAGGTGTGATTGATTCCTTCTCTCTGTCTCTCTCTCAGGAGTTGATTACAGCGTGGTACATAGGTTTCCTCGTCCTGATCTTTGCCTCCTTCCTCGTCTACCTGGCAGAGAAAGACATCAACTCAGACTTTAACACCTATGCAGACTCCCTCTGGTGGGGGACTGTGAGTACTGCATAACACACACGTGCACGGAGGATCTAAAAAGGAAATATTTAACTTTTGTCATCAAAATGGTCTTATTGACAGATATATAGAGATATGAAACAAGACCTCTGGGAATGGTAGAACCAAGCAATAACAAAGATCACAAGTATATAGACCTCGACAGCTGTATTTGTTCATGAGGTCCACTCAGAGCTTTCCAGATTTACTTCATATTAATATTTATCCAAGGAAATTACATTCAAATATCAGCAGTGTCCTAGGATTGTGAGAGGTTCTTATTTTAAAGGGACAGTTCTGCCCAAAATCAAAACCACAGTTGCAGAGTGTTGGAGATATCAGCTGTAGAGATGTCTGCCATCACTTGAATGTAATAGATGACACTCAGCTTGTGGTGCTCAAAGCACCAAAAAACTACATTTGAAAAACTCCACAGCAATGTCTCTTTCCAGAAATCATGACCCAGTTACTCAAGTTAACCCACAGACCTTGTTGTGAGCAGTTTCATGTAGGAACTATTTTCTTTCTACTGAACTACACCTGTCAACCTCGTCACTCATCGCAGCGTGAGATGTAAACATTAATGGCGTCCTCCTCGGCTGAGCTAGCAGCAGATACATGCTTTCGTCTGTGCGGTGATATGGATGGCAGTTGTAGTTCAGTAGAAAGACAACAGTTCCCACCTGAAACTGCTCACACTTTAAAGTTATTTGTTTTTAGCTTTTTTTTACTTTATTTGATAGTTTGAGTAGACACAGACAGGAAAAGAGGGGAGAAAATCTTTAAGATTGTTTTCTGAGACAACCATCAAGGAGTCATGGTCCAGGAGTAGGAATATAGACAATGACATAGAGATCAGCAAACACAATTTTACAGTGACATGATTTTGAAATATGACGTTCCCTGGACACTCTCAAAACATGTGACGTGACAGGTGTAAAAAATACAACATGCACACAGACCTATCATATTGTATGTTTGCGTGAGATCATGTATGTTTTCTTACCCAACCTAGATTACTCTAACTACTATTGGCTATGGTGACAAAACCCCTCGCACCTGGCAAGGACGTCTCCTAGCTGCCGGCTTTGCTCTTCTAGGAGTCTCTTTCTTTGCTCTGCCTGCCGTAAGTCTCCCTTATATTCACACCTATATATTTACTCACAGCCCTGCCAGTGACTTCACTCCTGACTTTGATTTGACCTCTGACCCTCAGGGAATTCTGGGGTCAGGCTTTGCCTTGAAGGTTCAAGAGCAGCATCGGCAAAAGCACTTTGAGAAGAGGAGGATGCCCGCTGCCAACCTGATACAGGTAACGACCACAGTGAGAGACATTTAGGCTATTTTAATATGGGTCTCTCTAAAAATTTGTTTCTGTGTATGTGTGTCCTTCATTAGGCTGCATGGCGTCTCTACTCTACAGATGCTAAACACTCCTATCTGACTGCTACATGGTACTTCTATGACAGCATGTTGCCGTCGTTCAGGTAGGCGCTCCCATCCGTCTACAGTTTCAGCGCTGAGTGGATTCAACCATCAGCAATTTGTGTTCGGGCATTTGTTTGATGTGTTGTAATAAATGCAGACAGAGATTTGAGAGTTGCATCACCATTTATGTACAAAAATTAGTGTTTTGTCCCTGCTCATACATTTATATTTTTAATACACACACAGTTCCCACATTTTGTCCATCAAGAACTCTATTTAGTTAATGTTGCAGTGGTGGTTTAAATTAAAAGGAACGGGGTTCCCTTTAATTTTTAAATTAAATATATGAGCCCTTTCAAATGCCTCTGCCACCTCTATTCCATTATATCTTCATTACTTTTGTTCTACGCAGTGGTTTCTTATATTTTGCATTTATGTATTAATTTGACTAATTTTTATTTGCTTAAAAGGAGGGTAACATGAGAAACTCAAATCAAACTTGTCACTGTGCTGCATCTTAAAGGTCCAGTGTGTACAATTTAGGGATATATTGGCAGAAATGGAATGTAATATAAAAAGTATGTTTTCTTTAGTCTATAATCACCTGAAAATAAGAATTGTTGTGTTTTTGTTACCTTAAAATGAGCCGTTTACATCTATATATGCGGCAGGTCCTTGTCGACGGAGTCCACCATGTCACACCGCCATGTTTTCTACAGTAGCCCAGAACAGACAAACCAAACACTGGCTCTAGATGGGGCTATTTTCATGTTTTTGCATCGGCCACTGTTGTAAGCAGCCGCTCGATACACTGTTTTTAAATGTGAAATTGCTTTATTCAGTGTTTTTACCAGTTTAGATCAAAGGGTCTGTTTGTTTTGGAGAGGAAGAGCCCTCTGCAGATAATTTGGCTCCAGATAAAAACCTCCTGAACAATGAACACTCAAAGAATCCTAACAGGGAGCTCATGTTTGACCCATGGAAGACGTTTCAGCAGATTACATTCTGCAGTCCTCACTGCTAGATCCAGCTAAACCTACACACTGCTCCTTTAAATTCAGATTTTCACACATGTTATTCCTCTCAAGTATCCCTCTTCTTTTGAGCGTTTGGACCATTGATTTGGCCTTTTTGTGAGTTTTTCCATATTTTGTTGTTTTTTGTTCATTTGCCATGTTCTTTTTTTTGTGTGTGTGTTTATTTGTGCACGTGGGGGTGTCAGAGAACTGACGCTACTGTTCAGTCACCTCCAGCGACAGCGTAACACCAAGAAGGTTCTCCACAACTCCTACCTCACGCTGCTGTCTGGGCTGCGGCCCTACAGCTCCCCCTACCTGTCGGGGGACAGGTACGCACCCCGCCACCTCTCACAGCCTCACAGTACATCCAGACAGGTGGCTGAAAGTCTACCTACACTCACACACAGGCACCCAAACACAACAGTAACAACAGGGACTTACAGAGGAATACATTCAACAGGTGTACAAAGCTGCTTCCGGAGCTTTCTGCACGGATGTGTTGTGAATCTAACGTTTCACTAATGCTGATCTGAGACCACTGTGTTGCAGGCCCTCCTCCATGCTTCTCTGCATCTTTGTCTGCTAAGCTCTTACTCTTGCCATCTCCACCGCCTCCCGCTGTTCACTCACTGGCCTCTTCCTGTCTTCCTCTTTCTTTCCCTTTATTTCCATCATATCTTTTCCATGCCGTCCATCCTCCATCCTTCATCTGTTCTCAGGAAGGCTGAAGCCCCATGCAGGTTTGTTCTTCAAGTCATGAGCTGTGCTTGTAGATTAAAGGGTATTCGTAGTTAGAGCGGATTTGCTGCATTAAATTCTTTAGCTTTATCAAAGGCCAAGGTAATACCGGGCTGATTATGTACTGGACTTATGCATGCATTGGATGAGAGAAGTTTTGCTGGTAGAAATGTCTTTGATTTGAGGAGCTGCTGTAAAACCATGATGTTTAATGGGCTGTCTTGATGAATATACTCAGGTGAAACATTACCCACAGCCTTTGCGTGATCCTTCCCCACCTACTGGTTTAAACCCTCCTCACTTCTCACTGACTGTGTCTCCATAATCCAAAATTGCCTCTCAGGAGTATATTCCCAGCGTAGGTAAGGCAACAAGATCAGGAGGGGAAAGGGCTATTTGGAATATTGAGATCTCACACCTCACCCTCTCTCCCTGTTTTTTCCTTGCTACGATTTGTCCTCACGTGTTAACCACGTACCGAGGCTGTGTCCCAGAACTCCTCGGCCTCCTTCACCGCCTCCCTTCTTCCACTCCTCTCTCCCCCTCACCCTCTCTCCCTCTGCCTTGTGTGTCTTCCCAGTCAACTCCTTTCTAAAAAACGGGGTCTCTTCCGGATTCACGGTGGCCGCAAGCAGAGGTATCCACGGCAACAAGCCTGTGCACGGGGCACGCTGAAATCAACAACACCACTCCCACTCCTCCTTTAATGCACACATCCTGCTCTCCTTACCTGAAACACTCAAAAATTTGTGGACTGGTGCAGCGGCTTGCTAAATGTTTTGTTACTGTACTTTCAACCATATCCAGCATTTACCAATTCAACATCTTAAACAAGGCACCGAACTCTGGTCCACAAATGCTTGAGTGAAACCTTTACTATGAAGAATTGCTGAGCTCCTCCCTCCTGAAAGGGTGTTTCTCCAGCTTAGGAGAAACGAGGGCTGATTTTCCTTGGTTTGGCTTCAAAGTCATGATAAACCATGTGTTGAAAACACAAAAGAAGTCCTCGATGGTTTATAACAATGTGACAAAAATACATTAAACATTAAACATTTCATCAGACGTCTCTGATGAAATGACGAAATAAAGTATTTACTCAAAAATAAGCGACACATTCTCCCAAATTGGAGCTGAAGTCAAAAGAATTGCCCCGCTCTTGACTCGCTTTATGTTTTCAATCCAGTTGTTTGGCTCATTCATAGTATCTTCTTGGAGAGAAGGTTTAAATGATTCAGCATGCTTTCCCATTTCAGATTAGTTATGTGACCTTTGAACAAAATCAGTATGTTTGTGCTGTATTTTAAAAAACATCTTTAGAGTGCTAAAACGTTTCTGTTTGCATGCGATATTCTTTAATGTTTTGGAAAGATTCAGTGACGTTCATTGCGCTGAATGCATCCAAATCATTTGCTTGCTCTCCCAACTGCATGCAAAGCTCTTTCACTCTATCTTCCCCATTTCCTCCAGTCTACCTGAAGCATTTCAGCTTGCTTGTATGAAATGCTGTTCCCACTAACCCCCTTAACTATTTAAATTTTAATTTAAATGGCCGGCTATAACACACGCACAACAAAGAGTATATCATCGTAAAAACAAAATGTGGGAGTGAGCAACTGGGCTGGAATTGCTCCGCGGTGCATGATGTTTGCATTGCCTTATGGATCCGTGACAGTGTGTAACATGTAAGTGGCTGCAGAGAGGGAGTGGTCTCTAGAGCATGCTATAACAGCAGCATTGGAGGACAATCTGTTGGAGAGATGGCCGCCAAATAGCTTTCCTTCTGTAAATAGATGACCTCACATACCGGCCAGCCTTTGGTTCTTTTGCGTGGTATAGAGCACTTAATGAGACACCTTCTGTGTGGCTGCGCTTTGAAGCTGATATTTTAATGCTTATTCACTCTGTTGAAGGGATTAAGGAAGCGTGTCTTTATTCTGATGGTAGATGGAACATTTTCCGCCGGCCCAGCACTACTGCAAGTCTTGAATCAGGTTTCAGTCTGATTTTGCTGAATCAAGTGCTATGATAGGCATATTAAATAAGCAAATCCTCAGGGCAAGAATCAGTTTTTAGCAATATTGAGTGGTCCCTGTGGTCAAACTGCCTCCACGACAAGTCAGCCAGTCTGTCCTTCACTGAGACAAATTGTAAATGTCTGTTTGTGTCCCTGTTTTGTCTGTTGACGAGTATCTCTGGTGGTTGCTGTAAAAATCAGAGGCCATATTTTGTTGTGTTCACCTATACTAACTGACTCTTTTCTAACAAGCTCAGGCTGCTGTTCTGCTGCTGCACTAAACTCCCAGGATAACACAGCTTAGTTTTCCATTAAGGTCAAAGGCATGGACATTGCGATCATTGAGAAAAAAACCCAGTGTCTATCATGATCCGAAATGATTGCTGTACCTATACGCATTTAACAATTTTATCCTCACTGTCAGCAGTAAAATGGGCTTTCGGGATCGGATCAGGATGAACAATTCCCGATCGTCCCAAACCATTAGGAACAAGGCGTCACCACTGCCCCCGGGCTCCGGTGTCCGCCGCTCTCCCAGCCAGGAAAACGTGCCTGAGCCCACCAGCCCGGGGAAGGTCCAGAAGAGCTGGAGCTTTAATGACCGTACACGCTTTCGTACCTCCCTCCGCCTCAAACCACGTCCACCTGCTGATGGTAGGCAACACATATTCAGACACTCTACACTCACAAGGATCATTTCTGCATGATGAAGTCTCTCTTATTGTCTTGGCTCAGTGGAGGGGGTTGGAGAGGACAGTGTGGAAGACAAACCATATTGTGACGTGGCCATGGAGGAGGTAATCCCTGCAGTGAAGACACTCATACGGGCTGTCAGGTGAGTCCTGCCATCAACAGTATATCAGTTATACCTACAGTGGATTTTTTTTAAGCTGTACACATACGGTTGTTCTTCTTCAACCCTGTAACCGTCCCATTCAGTTAATAGCAATAAAAAAATGTGTTTTCCTATTTCCCTTGGGCACAAACAACATTTTTTCCCCAACAAACAGTTGAGACATCCATTTACAGTTTTAGATTAAGTAAGGACAAGAGCAATGTCTGAAGAGTTCAACTGTATTGCTGTTTCCAGGTATACAGACTCATTGAAGGGTAAGTTAAGTATTTGTCAATCTGGACCCTATTTTCCCATGTTTTGAGTTTAAGGGGCTGATAAGAACAGCAGTTTTGGTCCAGTTTGCAGTGAAAGCGCTGCAGCCAGCAGCTGCCAAACAGGCCACAATGTGCACCGCCAATGTTCGTCCACTAAAAGTGCCTGCCCGCTCCTGCTGAATTTCTGACCATTACCGCCCGCAACCACAGCGTGTGTTACACTCCAGCCCGCTCCCGCAAAACTCTGAGAATTTATGCCCCCACAATAATAGAGATGCATTGATTTTGTGTCTTCTCCCGTCCCGCAGGAGAAAACACGTCATTTTCTAGGCTATTAATAAAGAGATTCATGTTGGGGTTGTTTGTTTCGTTTCCCTGGCCTGCATGTCTTTTGATGCACTGGTCAGGAATAGCGCTCCTATTTCGTTGTTTTCATTTAGTTTTTAATGAAATAAAGGCTGTTTCATATTCTATTCTCCTCCTCTGTATTTTATTTATTTTTCTACCTTTATATAATCACGCAGTGATTGAGGTTAAGGTGTCTTTTCTAAGAGAGACCTGAATAAGAAACATTAATGAGATAAAGATAAAGCCTATGCTCAATAACACCGGCATCATCATGCCTCTAACAAATAGCAACGAGAGTAGGCTGTGAGTGGCTCAAATAACACTAATAAATAACATAAAATAAACAAAGTTAACGAATGAAACGAATGAATTTAACAAATGAATCACTTGGCCATAATATTGCCGTGGAGGAAGAGAATGTTGCTGACCGACTGCGGTCCCAATCCCGTGCGTCTCTCTTCCAAGATGCGCCCACAGACACTAAAGGCCCGCTCTGAAGGTGCACTGGATGCGAGGATACTGAAGATGAAACGCACCAGCTTTGAGCACTTCAGCATTAGATGGGAGAAATTCCTACGCGCTGTGACTTTAACCAGAAACAGCCCCGAAAATGCCATCACCAAAGCCACCAGACTCCATTTAAAAAAACAGTAATTTCATCATCCTAAAACACACTTCATTCAGAGTCAACAGAAACAAAATGAAACTCACAAAACTGTCTTGGTTCGTCTTTTCGTTGTTCCAACAGTCACAGACTCGTTTGGTTAAAATAAACCCTTAGTTCATTCAGTTAGATGTAAAAACATGCTGGCTCTATACATGCTGGAATTACTGTTTATTGAAATGGAGTCTGGTTGGTTTGGCTATGGCAATTTTAAGTATGTTTCTGGTTAAACAAATAGATCTCACTCTTTTAAAAATGGTCTGTCTCTGGAGGGATCCTTTACGTGATGTTGTGAGATACTCACAATAACATCCCGAGCCTGTCAGCAGCAAAAACAAGCACTTTTAGTGAACGTAAATAATTGACAGTGTGAACATGCCTTGAGTGTTTACATCATCTTGCTCAATGCCAAATTCAGAAATTGCTGTTCCCATTGGTCCTTTACACACAAAAACGTGGGAATGAGGGTCCAGGTTGGAAACTTAACCTTTAAGGTGCAAGCTGGAGCTGCTGTGCCTCAGGTCATTATTAAACTAAGTACACTTTGGTCGGATAAACAACACATGCATGTGCATTTAGACATGGGCCGTGCTCACGGGATTTGACAGCGTGCATTAATTGGTGAACATGCTGCTCCTCCATTTAGGTGCTGCCGTGCACAGATTCAGCTGACGGAGTAGAAATGTCCACTTAGGAGAGGTAACTGAGCCCCGCTGCAGGCAGGGTTAGTTCCCTCATGCGACCTTGTCACTCAGCAAGCCCAGCTCATTCAGGCCGGTCATATGGCGTGATAGGGTGGCCTATAAGAGAGTACACAGACACGCACAGATACTGTACAGATTGAGGATCATGGTACATTACGACTGCGCACAGACAAAAGATATTGTACTGTTTAGACAAGGACAACTGTAGTAACAATTGATTACGAGCATTGCTGATGTTGATTGCTGTCATTGTGTCATCTTCCTCTGCAACTCATCGACTATAAGCTTTCATGTAATGCCACTGTAGTACGTAAGTGATGGATGTCCTTACAAAACATGTCCTTAAACACTTTGAATGAGTTCAGCTTACAGTCAGGAGGAAAAGCAAACACTCTGCACATGTAAACTACGCACTCATAACTCATGGACAGTGTGTGCGTGAAGAAATGCTCTGTTGGCAAATACACACCACAATTCTAATAATTACTCGTGCGTGCAATGCGAAATTACTTCTGTATTTAAACGTGCGGATATCCCAAAGGGTTACCAGCAATATCATGAATGCAACCTCTCCCCCCATCTCAAACACATATACACACACTCGTAGCGTAACAGAGTTTTTCCACTGATGGTGGCAGAAAATAAATACAAATGCAAGCAAACATCTGGTGTTGGGGCCCGACTGGTCTCCAGAGAGGTTTGATGAGAGCGGATTAGATCGACTCTTTTGGGTTCCTTGATGTCAGCGCTGTTCCTGCACAGCGTTTCTTGAGTAGCGTGGCGCTGTCTTGCGTGGCTTCATATGCACTCTATGAGGCTTGTGAATGAAGTGGGTATGTGTCTGGAAACGCTGTGTTGGGCATCCTGGTGGTCACATCGATGAGGTGTCATAATCTCACTACGACTTTAAATGATCAATCCTTGTAATGATTATTGCTATAATTTAATAAGTAAGTTCATAGTCACTGTCAGTAAAGCAACCTTGCTGTCTGAACCAGGTGATGTGCTTACACTTAAGGGAATAATTCACCACCCATGACTTTGGTGAATCTGCAATAACCCTTTAAAACACCAAAGTTACACAGTGATTTATATATTTTGATATAGTCTTTGGATTTGTCACTCATGGTGGTGGTATGTTCACTAATCCAACCTAACACAGGGTGAGTAATTGATATACAAATGGTCATTAAGGGGGGGAGGTATTCCTTTTGATTTAAGGTTTTTTTCTTTTGGACACTCAGCAGGTAGATATTTTCCTGTCTTGGAATGCAGCGTGATATATTTATTTGATATCATTATGCCAGTGATAAGGTATTATATGACCTCTCCTCAGGTTTGCTCTTGACTCAGCAGATCGCTCTGACCTCAGCTGCTCTGTGCTGCACACAATAGAAGGGAGGGAGTTCCTATAGATAGTGCAGGTGTGTACACAGCAGGTGCTTTGCGCAAACACACACATGCAGCATCCTTGGCGAGTTCCATGATTGATGTTTGTGAAACACAGAATTTTGCAGCAGGCCTTAGTGCTGAGACTTCACTTCAGAGAGGCACATGTGGTTAATCAGTGCCTGGCTGCCCGGATAAATGCGTACGGTGTTCAGAGTACGTACGGAGGGAAAGGCAGAGGGAGCAAGAGAGGAGGAGGAGGATGGTAAAACAAGGCCTGATATCTCTCTGTGCTCTCTCTGCTGTGACTCTCCTCACACACACAATCCAATACTGCACAAAACACAAAATTTCTGCACGTTTGCAGTCTCGGATGAAACCTCACTTTATTAAATAAATAGTTTGGACATTCGTACGATTTATAACCATTTGATCTTTAGTCATCGTCATCAGTTTTTGTAGTGTTTCAGCTGTTATATTTTTAAACTCATATAATGTTTACTCAGTACATTTCTCTGTAAGAATGATTGAATACACATACAGCAGGTAGGTAGTTGTATTTGGCGAAGAATCAGACTTGCCCCTGCAGTGGCTCACCCTACTTGGCCCACCTAGGAATCGTGTCAGCATAACAGTCATTTTTAAGTCACAGATTAAACCTTGCCATTGGAGACTATCAGGGATCCACCTTTGCTGAATTGCAAAAATATTTGCACTAGCTATGCAAGCATTTTGGGGCACAGATGACACTTCCTGTCTCTCCAATCATCACTGTGTTTTTACGTCTCAACTTCCTTACATTAGGAAGGTATAATACCTTTCGGTGAGCAGTGCCAGCTGTACTGTACCACTGCCAGTGACTGTTGCACTGGAAGTTTTTTGGGGGCAGAGAGGGGGCCACGCTCAAACCTGACCATGTATTATGAAAGCCATTTCATCGACCGAGAAAGAGAGTCAGCATTTCGAAGAAACCCTTGGAGGATCCAAATCTAAAGTACCCCACCCCCCCCTCCCAAGCTTTTCTTTTACCCACACCTGAGACCCACCCTGGCAAAAAAATCTGCATCTACCTGCAAAATAAGAAAAGAGCGCCTGCAAAAATACCCCAAACGCAGGAGTCATCAAGAAACAGAGTGCTGCGTGAGGGGGAAGAGTGCGCTGACGGCTGCTATGGCACCAGCTGTAGACCACCACTCCTCCTCCTCTCGCTCCTCTTCTCTTTCCCTCACACCTTCTCTTCGTCTTTGTCGCAGCACAGGTCACTACACAAAACTGTGCGTTGCATGTGGCTGCTGTAAGTGCAAGCGCTGCAGACCTTAACAAAGATTACTGTGGTTTTTTCAGAAACTGACCCCACTCTCAAGTTCAGGTTTCACTTGCTCCTGCTAAGCCCACGTGTGTGTAGTTGTGTTAGTGTGTGCATACTTCTGACTGTGAATGTGTGTAGGTGTATGTATTTCTGGCATTATATTTTTGCGAGTGTGTATGGTTGTGCGCACAAATGTGTGTGTGTGTGTGATTTTTTTCTCAGAACAGCTGAGTGTTTCTGATCTTCTGCTTCCCAGACCTTTGATGTGATTTCTTTTCTTCCTGCTATGAAGGCAAGTGGGAGTATTATAGTGGACTTAGTAGTCTGGGTGTGTGAGATAGGATTTCCTCGTTAAAAAAAATCCCTCCTTCCTTGCCTTCCCACTCTCTCTCACTCCTCCGTCTCCCCCGGCTTGACTTGTAGCGCAATCCATCACAGGGTGAGATGACAGCTTGAGTGTGTATATTTTGTCTCGCTTACATTTGGTGTTTCCGGTCCTTCTGCGGAGCCAGCATCTCTGAGCGAGCTATCGCGTAAGTGATAAGAGGGGAATTGAATGACCCACCCAACACAGAAGCCAGGCACACACACACACATACACACACACACACACACACACACACACACACACACACGCTTAAACTTTCCTTCGCTCCCTTCCCATTATCTCTCGCACATCCTCCACTCCCTCCAGCATGACACCCAACCAGACTGCCTCTGGCAGAGGATGTCAGTGATGTGTTCACCGGGTGCAGTAGTGCTGGGTCAACATTCCTCTGTGTGATTCCCCCACATTTGGGGTGTGGGTGGTGATGTGTATGCTGGCAGTGAGAGCAGCTGAGGTCCTCCAGTGGCACCAACATGGCTGTCATACTTACAAAAGAGCAGGAACAGGGTAAAGCTCTGATGGAGATGTGTGTGTGTTACCAGTCACTATGTGAGATTTTTTTTTCTAATTGCTGAAACAGCAAACACTGATAAGCAAATGTCTCCCTTGTCGTCATCACAATATATGGTTAAGAAGTGGGGGCGACTCTGCTCTCTTTATGGGGCTGTTTATGAATGATAAGGTCACTCTGACTGTAATTAATCTTGTTATTCTCAGGGTCCCCCGTATCGTTTGATAGCTGTCCTGACCCTGCATTTTTCCAAAGGTTCCCTGTATGTGTGAGTGTGCAGTGTGAGGCTCTTTAAAGGTGTTCAGAGGAGTGGTAACAGTATCTCTGGTGTGTTTATGCAGGATCTTAAAGTTCCTTGTGGCCAAAAGGAAGTTTAAGGAGACGCTGCGTCCGTACGATGTGAAGGACGTCATAGAGCAGTACTCCGCTGGACACCTGGATATGCTGGGCCGTATCAAGAGCCTGCAGATGCGGTACGTTTCATGCATGTAAAAAAAAAGAAGCTAAATCTCTAATTCTGTGTGTGCTCCTCATTCAAAGTATTGGTTTGACATTTTGGAGAATACACTTATTTACTTTCTCTTCAAGAGTTCGATGAGAAGATCAACAACACTTTCATGTCTGTCAGTAAATATCAAGTTTCAGTCAGCAGCATGTTAGCTTAGCTTAGCATATAGACAGGAAACAGGGGGAAAAAGCTAGCCTGGCTGTGTTCAGCACCTCTAAAGCTCACTTAGCTTTTTAATTACCACACAGACGGGGGAGTGGAATCAATCTTCTTACGCAGGTGGCAGTAGCTCAGTTTGTGAGAACCTGGAGTGGAAACCAGAGGCTTGCCAGTTCAAGTCCCCATCCAAGTACAGAGGGCCTTTTCTAAACCACCCCCTGCACCCTCTCCCTACCTACTTCCATTCTGTTTTCACATTCACACAGAGGGACCACCACACTGAGTGCCATCCAAAACAAACTAGCAGGGAGTGGAAGTAGATTATAAACCCCTCCAACAGCGAGCCTACATGGATACCAACTTAATGAGCATGTGCAAGGCTGCATTGTGTTCATCATGTGCAAATACAGCTCTGTGCGACCACACTGACAAACCTAAACTACTCAAACTTAGATAGATATTAATTATTATTGTCATACATAGATTAACAGCCTAAAGGTTAGATTGTATTTAGAATAAGATATACCCTTCTCTTGTCTCTAGAAAATGGTAGTTGTGTTCATTTGAATGTAAAGTGCTGTTTATTTACAGGGACTGGTGCAAAAAAAAACAGGCAGCTTCTGAACATCATGGTGAAAAACAGGATGTTTGCCCCCAAAAATGCCACAAGTTTTATTTCTATTTGATTTTTTATTTATTTATTTTGGCTATTTATTAATTGATATATTTATTTTAATGACAAAAGGATAATATACAAAAAATAAGGTAAACAATAGCAGCATGTACTGATAAATTATAGGATATAGTTTATTTTTCTCTGTGGTTACAAAAAGTTATGACAGAGAGAGATATTGTCTCAAAACTTGCCACTGTATTTATACATCCTACATCGTAATGAAGCGTGTTTTATTCAGCTGTGAAGCTGACTACAAACATAGTTACACTCCCTGATGGAGTAGGAGTGTAGAGGGTCTGCTGGGCACCTGTTCATGGGCCGGGCACGCTCTGATATCCCTCCAGAATTCATAGGGGCGTGTGTAACATGTAAAAATAATAACAGTGAAAAAAATTGAATTTCCCCTTATGTCATCTTCCTGTCCCGCAAGAAACGGGCAAGTGTATTCCCCAAAATGTACAGTGCAGGAAATTGTAGGTTGCTGCTTGTAAAAAAGGGAAAAACGCCAGCACTCTCAAGTGTCCTTTTAGTACGTTTAATAAACCAGCTTGGATGGCAGTACCAGTACACAACAGACGTTTCGACAGAAAGTCTTCTTCAGTGTGTAACTATGGTTACGGAAGTGGCGTTTAAGTACGCTCGAAGCAATCAGAGCAGGTGTGTCTTCCGCCATAAAATGTAGTACCAACTCACAGGCACAGAATAAACAAAAAACAATCTTAAGTCACAGCTAATAGCAGTAGATGCACCAAAAACAGATATACATATGCATAATATACTCTGTTCATACAAAAAGGCACTGTGAACAACACTAAAAACTATGTGCATGAGGGGGCAGAGTAAGTACCAAATTCTCATTTAACAATCAGATCATAAATGCACATACTGTTTGTAAACACAACATTCCATTCGCTCCTCCTCCCCACACTGACTGTACATACACTGCAAGCTACTGCACTATGGTGGGAGTGTTACAGATGCTTTAGCAGGCTAATGATGCTAACCACTGGCACTTACCTGTCTAACAGAAAATAGGCCAACTTTTCATTGTTCTTCATCCCCATCCTCTCCTGCAGTGCTCGCTCGTGAAAGTGAAGTGCAAACCAACCCCAGGTTTAATTGTTTTGGAGCAAGCGCTTGGTGTTTCGCCTCACTGTATTTGTGTAGTTACAGTGTGATGTTTATGATTTTCATAGCTTTTTATAACGTCCTGACCTCACCTGTGTGCTGTGCCAAATGTTCCAAACACAACATCATAAGAAGAAAATAAGAAAATACAGGCAGAAGGCAGAGTCTCTGCAGATAAATAAACCACCACACACTTCTAGTGGGTCATAAGTGATCACTGAGTCTAAGTCTCCATCATCTTAATTTTAACCGTTGTTTTTGTATCAAAGGGTGGACCAGATAATTGGGCGAGGAGCCGTTCAGCCTGACAAGAAAGCGCGCCCTGAAAAGGGAGAGAAGACGCCGCCAGAACTGGACCCACTGGATGAACTAAGCATGATGGGACGTGTAGTCAAGGTGGAAAAACAGGTAACAGAGGAGTTTATTTAAGTGTTCTTTAAGTCATAAAAGGCACTGAATTCATTAATCTAGAATTAAGTCCTTGATTGGTATTCAAATGTCTAAAATCAATCTTTCAAAAGTCTTAAAAATGTAAAGACAGGAAATACTTTGTTTTCTGAATTGTATTTTTTCTAAAGCTGAATTATAAAATCTAAAAAAAACTGGTAACATCTATTTGTTAAAAACAATGTATCATATGCTTTTTGAATTAAAACCACATCAGGAAAGTAGAACTAACAACAATGACTAACAACTGTACCCTGGAAGTCTTGAGGAAATGCAAATTCAGCAAAAAAACACATTTAACCAAGATTTCGCAGCATAACTGAAACAGGTACAAGGCAATGGATAAAAGGCTGGGTGTATTTTATGCAAAACGTTTTTCACAGTCTCGATGGGAATCAAGTTAGTGCAATCCTACATGCAGCGTGAGAAACACAAAAAATCGGCAAAAACAACAAACGTCAGGTATTTCCCAGTTCTGTTCTACTCTAATCTCCGCCATGAGACAAAAAACAGTCATATTTTTCCCTTTGATTTTGGTTATTGTAAAACTGGTCTTAGATTTAATTCCCAGTGGCAGTAAAATGTCTTTAAAAGTTTTAATTCTAACTTGCTTTAGGCTGTAGCAACACTGTTCATTTATACACCATTTGTGGATCTGTGCTCTCCGTGTAAACCCGTCAAACACTTGCAAAATCCCAGTGGATCGCTTTCATTCAGCCTTGTCGATCTAAAAAAAGAAGTACAGGAAGTGCAATAAACTCAGCGCAGGAAATGAAGTAATCGAGCATTTAAGAGCTGAAGTCCCTGTTCAGCTAACACAGTGGGCTTTCTTTTATCAGCCTTTCTTTTCTGCAGCTCCCAAGAGGATTTCAGGGTTAAGACGCATGAGATCTGTCATTTTCAAATGCCAGACAAATGAGGCAGTGCTCCAATATTAGCATCATTTGGCTTAGAACATGGAAAATTCCCAAAACATGTCAATATCTCGTTAGAAAATGTGTTAAAAGAGCTCCACACATCCCAGTCTCAATGTGTGTGTTTGTTCAGGTACAGTCTATAGAGAACAAGCTGGACCTCCTGCTCAACTTCTACTCCCAGTGCCTAAAGAAAGGCTCGTCCCACTTCACCCTGTCCTCCCTCCTGGACCCCGACCTGACGTCCGACTACCACAGCCCCACGGACCAAAGAGACCTCTTCCCCTCCGCTAACACGCTCAACATCTCTGAGAGCGGCAACTTGGAATGACAGTGAGCGGAGCAGTCTCGCGGCTGTTCAAACACAGACACAAAACCCTTTACAGTACGTCTTCCTGCGGCTGAGTCCTCACTTCGAGCAGCCCGACCTTAACGTCATCAATCATTTCATATCTGTTCGGGATGATCTTTTTACCCCTTTCCATCTCAAATCTGCACCCTCTCCTCTTTTTTCCTGAAGTGAATGTGTTTCCAGAGCTGATACAGACAGAGGCCACCAGATGGCTCCCCCTGACAAGGAGCCTCAGCCAAAGCTGCTCACCGCACACGCCTCTCGACCCACTAGACGAGGATGGAGATGAAGAGAGGGCACATGAACATGTATGACTTGACTACTGAACCACTTTCACAAACTCACCTCATGCTATATATATCTACGCTTCCTTTAAAGCATCCAACTGTAGATAATCAGACTTTAAGCTTTGACTTTTTGTAAACCTTTGGAGAAATCTCATCCCTTTTTTCCTCCCCTCGTCATTTCTTTATTTTCTTGGCTGCTTGAATCAACTGACTGAGAGTTTGCTGACACAAGCAGTTGCTGCGAGTGCCATGCCAGTCATTTGTTCAGTACCTTAGGATGGCTGTGATGAATGTAATGGGTCCCACCTGCAAATTTCACACCCTGACACAGAAATAATCTGCTCCCTCGGACCTCACCAAAACACCAAACCTCCACGGTACACCTTCGAGTTTTAAATGTTTAAATCCTGCTTAAATTGCCCAAACATGTCACATGAAAACAGCTGGAAGAATGCCCTGGAGTGATTGTGTACCATACAGTGTTTGTTTTCATCTCCATTCCCTCTTGGATGTTCTGTCTCCAATAAGCCCACTTGCAAAAAAAGTCCCTGTTTGTCTGGCATTGAAGTGAGGAATGTCCCTACTTATTTAGGATTATTAGAGCCAAAATGTCCTTTCACAGATCCCTTCTTTGCAATGTTTCAACTGTATCTCCTATTTCAGTATTTCTGTTGTTTTTAACATGCCCTTTAAACCTCTCTGTCTTGCAGCCCGCCCCCCGGACATGCATGTTACTGTAGATAAAACCTCACTGATCCTCAGTCAGAATTTAGACACTGATGTCACACTTTTCTGCACTGCTCCTCGTCACTCACGTCTAGCCTCAGGTCAGGTTTACCGTGTCAGTAATACTTCCACTTTTCTCACAGGAAGATCGTTCTTACTCTAACACTCATTGGGCATGTGATCTCGCAGTCAGCAGCTGCGGAGATGATGTAGACACTTTCTGGCCAGTTTTAAACCATGAACAACCTGTAAGGCGTCCAGGTCTAACGCATGAATTCCAGGCCATTATCCTCATGAATGCACGTGTCTTAGGAAATGGTTCCAGCCTTACAGCTTCACTACAGACGGTGTGCAGGTTTGACACCCGTGGGTGTTACTGTGCACTCGTCTGTCTTTTCTGGTTCTTTCATGGAGATGTTTGATGTGCAGTTAACGCTCTGTGTTTGTGGACAAAACTGGAGAGTGCTCAAATGCACACACACACACACACACACACACACACACACACACATACACACAGATATAATGAAAGCAATTCCTTTACTTAAATACTTTGGCACTTGATAAACAACACACCTTTTGTCTTTTTATCTTTGTGTTTTGATTTCTTTACTGTAATTAATGTTTCATGCACTCGATTTTGTGTAACCCACGATGGCAAAATTCTGTTTGTTTTTTTTTTTTATGATTTTGGTTGTTAAAGTTGAATGTAGGATTTAGGTTAACATATTTAATTCAATTAGATATGATCTTTGAAATAAATGTAGCATTTTTGTGGAGTTAAATCATGGATGACACAACTGTAACGATACACACAGCCGATCAGGTTCACGCTCACCACTCGCAGAGCTCATATGTATATTTTTTTAACGTCATCAGATAATTGCTGCCAGCTTCGACTGAGAAAACATTCACCATGCTATATTTGGCCAGTGAAAAGAGTTTCCTTTTGTCCCTGCATTTATTTGTTCCAGTCAAACCAGTTGACTCAGGTGCTCCGCATTTCCATTCAAGCTAAGACTTCAAACAGTGAATGTACTTCAGTGATCAGCCTATTTATGATCTGATGCCATGAGGAATAAAATGGCACGTCAGAGCTTGCTCTTGGTCTCATACAATTTTTTCATGCATTTCTTAGAGAAATTACGCGTAGCTTTATGTGTAGCCTAAACCACTGGTTCCCAACCTGAAGGTCCTGACCCCCACTAGGGGCCGCCATAGCTACAACGGGATGTAACAAGGCTTTCTTGATTTTAAGGGGTGTCAGAAAACGTATATATTGTCAAACAGAAGACTTATATCTTAGCATTTTGTTCATTTCTGTGAAGAAAACTAATTAAATTGTTAGATTTCAAGTTGAGATTATCATTCAAGATTAAATTTAAAACACAGGATAAAGAAAATGAAGACTTGACCACAAGCTGAATTCACAGAGCCTTCACTCGCTGCTAAAAGAGCTCATACAACAATAAGGTAAAACTTTAATGTCACACACTGTCAGGGATAAATCATGGACACCACTGCCACCGCTGGTTAAGAAAAGCGATAGTGGACAGAACAAAGGACGATCTGTGGCGCTTAGGGCTACATTTAGGGAGGCAAAACCTCCGCCTTGATTGAAGCATCTGAAACTCAACACGGAGGGGATGTTGAGAGTCTGAGCTTTAGAGATGACCCTCTCTACATACAGATGCTGGAGGTTATTTAAAGTAACACCAGTGAGCTTACAGCACAACTTGACCACTTTTTCCAACAACCAAACCAACAGACCATGTTAAAAGAAAGAACAGACTCAATAAAAGCAGAATAGAACAATTTCATGATTGTTGTATTTACATCAAAACTCCTCAGCTTCCTTAAAAAGAATAATCGTTGGTTTGCCTTCTTACAGATGCTGTCAGTGTTCACGTCAAAAGTCAACTTGTCATCTAAGACAGTGCCTAAATACCTCAGAAAATCAATGAACATCTCACTGGTCTTAGATGCATTAATGTGGAGGAAAGACTGGTCACACCAGTTAACAAATTCATCCAGTGCTGGGCCATGATCATATTCTGATCCACGAAGAAGGCTTACAATAACAGAGTCATCTGCGTATTTAAGGACAAATCTTGATGCCTGATTACTCTGACATTCATGTGTGTACAAACAAAATAAAAGAGGAGTAAGAACACATCCCTGAGGGGATCCAGTAGAGGAAAAACATGGGAGAGAGAAGAGAGAAGAAGGGACGGCAGAGGAGATACTCACACACCAATATAACTGGGCTAGAAAGCCAGTTCTATCAGTTGTTTTGTACTGTAATTGTTATGCACTGAATACAATCTAAAGTATCCCTAAAATAAGTCAGGGGTCATCATGACAGAAAAGGGGTCCATTAAGGAAAAAGGTTGGGAACCATTGGCCTGAACTATAGCAGAGCTGCCTACTTATCAGAGGCATTATTAAACCGTCACTTCATCGTCACCTGCAATGTTGAGCTTTGTGAAAACGTGAGACCACTGTATTGCATGTTGTTGTTAGCGGTGGCCCCAGTATTAGAAGAAAAAAAACAAAACTTAAGGATGTCTCCTGTAAAGTCTTGAGTCCAGACATGAAAGGAAGCGACCTGTGCCTTCTATGTCTTCGTTCTGTAACTGATATGGTGCGGCTTTCTTTCTCAAACTTAAATATTAATGCTGCTTTGACGAGATGGGTTTCATAGGGGTATTACATGAGAATAGCCATGCCCTCTTTTTTTTTTTTTTTTTTTCAAAACCTTGGCCTAACTGAAGAAACACCATCAAAATCGTTCTGAATATGTAATTTTTAGGGGTCTTTTATGACTGCTGCAACCTTTGATATTTTCTGAGAATATTACTATATGTGTAGCATATCATTGTAACTCTGCCGGGACCTCCTCGCATTGACACCCTTACTGTATTTTAACACCAGTCAGATCTGGAGGCATGGACATTTGTATCGTCACAGGAAAACTCTGCAGGCATGTGTCCTTTCATAAGCATGTCACATAGAGAATATGGCTTCCACACAACTACCTCTGAGGCCACTAGGGGGCGCTAGTCTAGAAATCTGAGTATGAGAAACAGTAACTGATTGTCTAACTGACTGAATGCTATGCATGACTCAATCTGCACGTTCTCTTTTTTCACTCTGTTCTTCTCCACGACGCCCGACCATCCATCAACCACTGACTTGCTGCCATTTGACATTCCAGCTCGTTGCCCTTTAACTGCGCTCTTAGGTGTTGGAACTGTTGTTAAAATGAAACTGATCAAAGCAATAAGCAAAACGCTAAAAGCCAACAAAGTCTTCCGATTCCAATTGATGTAGCTACTGGTTGATGAAATATGGCGCTCATCTTATTTTCTAAACTAATGCACACCTCTATTTGATCTTTGAAAGAGATACAAAAATGTATCTGCTGAGGATTAAATTAGCTCACTTGAGTAACTTATTAATTTATTTGTTTCAATAAAGCTCTTTGGACTGTATGTCGACTTTGGTCTCTTTATTTGTCTAATCAGTGCTGTGTAATGTTTGACATTTACAGAGTGGCAGGCTTTATGGCTGTTTAAAAACATTTTATTTACGTACTTTAATAGAACAAAAACAATGAATCCTTTAACTTTGTATCTCAAACTGGGACTTCATTGTGTTCAACTGATTTCTGGGTACGACTCCGTCTGAGCTTGTGTGTTTCTCATGTCCACCAGGAGTCTGACAAGTTCTCCAGGACAATGTCAACGTTCATGCGATCACAGTGTGAAGTTTCCTACACCATAGCAGTGGTAGAACACAGTCACGTGGCGTTTCAAGGGGTCAACAATCAAATAGGCAAACGTCTGCTCCTCCTCTCGTCTGCCGGGGTAACATAGTCCAGACTTGTCCTACAAAGGATTAACAATACAATATATGTGTGTTAATATAAGAAAGCAAGCCTCTTGTGTATGTGACAGACAGCCGTGACGTGCAAAAGAACTGCCACCGTTCTACTGTTAAAGGTCCAGCGTGTAGGTTATAGTGGCATCTAGTGGTGAGTTTGCAGAGCTGAAACTTCTACTATGTGCCAATCATGAAGGAGAACTACAGTGGCCGATGCAATAACGTTAATGGCCCTATCTAAAGCTGTAAATTCCATCACCCAGGATGCCATAAGAAGATTGTGTCCCAATACGCAGACTGTCAAATGCAGTGTACCAAATATAACCAGGTTGTCCTACTGCAATCTGGTCGCATTTTGCAGTATGGAAGCCAGCATGCTTTTCTGGCTATTCTGACCCACAATCCTCTGCACAGTGGAGGATTCATCACATCGACTGAGCTCATTGATGGCTCATTGACACGTAGAATGCCAGCACGTAGGGCTGGGCGGTATGACAAAATTTTCATATCACGGTTTTAAGAAAAAATCATATCAGTTTCACGGTATTTCATGGTCTTTTGCTCAGGTTCGGCCAACTTGACATGATGCTGTGTTGTGCTATGGCCTATTCAAGTGCCGGAATTTGTTATTTACCTGACAACGCCTGAACACAACACATGCTCCGCTCTATTCATTTGGGCTCCACTGACTGCGTACGGAAGCGACACGTAGAGAAGCCAGCGGGGTTGTTTACCGTTTGCCAAGCCGAGAGGCTGCATGAAATGTTAAAGCACCTAAGTTATTACATATATTTGAGTTATCTACAAGTTTACTGTACTGTTTGTCATCTACTCACTTTCAAATGTCCGCCACGGACATTTACACAATGTCACGGAGGGTCATCTTAGGTCAGGAAAATGTGGTCCGAGCCGTGCTCTAGTGTGCTTACCTGTGTGTGTGTGCTTTGTGTGTGTGTGTGTGTGTGTGTGTGTGTGTGTGCGCGCGCGCATCGGGGCGAAACTCCGCCGTGCGCAATACAGAGGGCAGAGAAGAACTGTAAACGGCGGTGTGTCACTGCTAGTTACATATAGGGGAAACACTGCTCTTTTTGGTATGAGTTCTTCTGGGTCATCGTGTACAGTTGCTTTGCTTTCAGGACTCTCTCCGGCAGCCATTCTCGCCTCTAAACTTTTCTATGCTCTCACTCTTACCCGCTCAAGCGTGCCTGTGGTGTGCAGCGGTGAAATGGTTCCCCGCTGAAACACTTTCCTGCCGCGCACGTTCCGGACGTTGTTTGGGCTATTCACCGGTATTGCAGTATATGAAAAATTCATATCATAACGAAAATAAATACTGGGTTTTGGTACAAACCGGTATACCGCCCAGCCCTACCAGCGCGTTCAACTGACTGATGACCAGTCATACAGTAACAGTAAGAATGTTAATTGTTTGAGTCAACAAAATAATCATAATACCTGTCATGATCCTGGGTTTGTTTATATTCTGTTATCCTATGGACTTTATTTTTTTCTGTTTGTGTTCCTTGTTTCATGTTATTCATTCATGTTTAATGTGCTTCCTTTTTTATTTTATAGATCCTCTCCTCATGTGTCGTGTCTGGTTTTTTGTGTTCTTTGTGTGTTTCCCGCCTGCTTTCTGTCACACCTGTCTTGTTAGTCCTTCCCTGTTCCCAGAGTCCTCCCTTCACACCTGTTCTATGGGTAAGTCTCTTATTTTATACTGCTGACTCCTAACTCCTGACTTGAGTCGTTCGAGCTCCGCCATCTTTAAGGCCGTCTCATGTCTCTTATTCCTGCCAGTAAGGAGTTAGCGTTAGGCATTAGGAGGGATCTGTTAGGTGCGATGAGTAAGGTAACACGAGAGGTTCCTAACAGGAAGTCTTTTTCAGCTTTAGGCTCTGACGTATAAATACCCGCCCCCTACGTCTGTCTCATTTGAACGAGATGGCGGAGAAACAGCGCAAGTGTACCCGTTACATGCATTCTTTGCAATGAAACGCTGTAAGTCACATGCCTACGTGACTACAGAGAGTAACGTTAATGATATTTCCTGCAAGACTGTCATGTTGTAATTAAGTTTATTTCATTCACAACCCGTTGCGGTGTTCAGCGGACTGTCTGTGATGTGTGGCTGTTAAATGTGCAGCTGCTCGAGTGATATAACACCATGCACAAACACATACACAAACACATTTGCCCATCATTAATTGTCCTGCATGTCATGTGAGTGGAATAATGTTTAATAGGCCGTAGGTAATATTAATTATTAATATTAATATTAATTATTATTATTACTTTCATTAATGTTGTTGTAAGCTACTGTCATTGCCGTCTGTCCTGCATCTCTCTCTGTCTGTCTCTCTTTCTGTCTCATACGGATTACTGTTAATTATAATGTTGATCTGTTCTGTACGACATCTATTGCACGTCTCTCCGTCCTGGAAGAGGGATCCCTCCTCAGTTGCTCTTCCTGAGGTTTCTACCGTTTTTCCCCCCGTTAAAGGGTTTTTTTGCGGAGTTTTTCCTGATCAGCTGTGAGGGTCCAAAGGACAGAGAGATGTCGTATGCCGTCGTATGCGGCTTTGATCAGCGAATATAATATGACTTGGGATGTACGCCAAACGCTGCCTCCGTTATGCAGCAGATCCAGCTGTGCCGCCCATAGGTGCAGCCATCACCAGAATAGGACGTCGCTTTATGTGACGCTCCAGAGTAAGGCCGTCTCATGTCTCTTATCAGCAATCCTCGCTCCTCACTCCTAACTCCTAACTCCTTAAATGTTTTCCTAAGTGGGAGGGACTAAACAGTTAGGTAAGGTGGCTAGGTTAGGTGGTTAGCAGTAATTTTAAGGGACTTGGGACATACCCTATGTCTTGTTTGCTCCACCCTAGTGTTCCACTCAACACACTTTGTTGTTAGCCAATCTCCATTTCCCTCCTTTTGCCCACGTCCACCTAATCCAGCGGTGTCTCATTCTTTTGATTATTTTTCTGTGTATATATACCTGTGTGATTTCCTTTGTTCTTTGTCAGTTTGTCTGTGTTGATCCTGGATTCCCCCTGGGTGCATTCTGCTGTCGTTCCTGCATTCATCCCTGTGTTATTCCTGTGCTCATCCCTGTTCATCGCGTTTTCAGTTTGTTTTTTGTTCTGCTTTCTTTTGGACTTTGAGTTTCCTCAAGGGTTAAATAAATAATTTTGAGTTATAATGAGAACAGTTAAACATTATATGTTGGCCGAGTAACATTCTGTGTGAACTGTATCAGTATGAGCACAGTTAATAAATACTTGTCTACATTAAGTGCATTCATCAGGTATCTTACAATGGCTTTCAGTTATCAATTAGAAGTCCAGTTTAATTCAATGACATTTTTGCACTGGTGTACTGGTGGCACAGACATTCAACCAGTCACTTACATAAGCACAGACTTTGAGGACTGTGGAGAGCACTCTGATCTTCTTAGTCTCTGGATCCTTTTGAACACTACATAGTGAAAGGTAGAGTTACAATGTTATCATTAGATCATGGTGTATCTAATAACCAGATCAATAACTGTTAAAGTGCTTATATTGTTGGACAGTATGGATTAAAATATAGCGGTGAGAGATGGTCAGATTATGCGCACCTGATCAAGTCTTTGTAGATTTGTTTTGTGGTGCTGATGTAAGGCTCGATGGTGTCTTCATACTGACAGAGCTCTCCTCCGAAACACAGGTGCTTAAAGAGTCGAAACAGAAACTCTCCTCGCTCCTCGTTCCCAACCACACAATAGTGCTCAGAGTCCTTTTCCTGCAGCATCTGGATGAACAGAGGAAGACTTGGACTGATGGCATGTCAGAAAAGATAGAGACAGACAGACTGACGGATGAGAGAAGAGACTAACCTGTCTGAGTTCATCATAGTCGGGGTAGACATCATGAAAGCATTTAACTACATGTCCAGAGGGTCTCAGGATCCCACAAGAGTACATTGGGTCAAACAGATCCATGGAGACCTTAGTGCACAGCACCTGCTCCACATCAACAGACACCACTGGCTTGTCTACGACATACAAGAAACATTCCACCGAGATTTGACTGCAAATATTGTCCAGCACATGAGATCAATTTCCTACCATCAGTGATGAAAGGCTTTCTGGGGGTCATAACATACCAAGAGGCACCCAGGCTCCGGCCTCCATCCTTCTCAGACTGGATACCACATTGGGATCTCTGAAGAAACACTACATATTACAGAGTGACGTCAAGAGTAATCAAATATGACCAAATATACAAAGTCAATTTATCAGAACAGACAACCAGTGAGTGCACTGCACGCGATTAGTCATCTAAACGATTAAACGTCCGCGTCCTCGCTAGTCGGCACCAGAAATATTCATGTCAGCCATGCAGCTGCCTGCCACTAGTGGGTACTACAGAGCCATCAGACAGCAGTGCCCCTCAGCAGCATTTGAAATCCGACATGGTTGTTGAAGATTGTGATTAAGGGCTTCAAATGGCTCTTAATGGACACAATATTTTTGGGACAATGTTTCAAATACTTAACAATAAATTGTTCTACATTTTGACTGTTTCCTGAGTGTTTTCCTTTTTTCAGACTAGTCGACTAG